ATCACTGCATCTCGGAGGCCAGGTCGGGCTATATAGAGAGTTCAAGGCCAGGATGAATGGCACAGCAAGACCCTGCCTCAGAAACCCAAAAGGAATCAGAGGGGAAAACGTCTAATCTGCTTTTCTTCTGGTAATGCAGGCCATCGCCTGGCTTCCTCTGCCTTGGTAGAGCCACGGGGGGGGGGGGGTAAGAAACCAGCGTTGCCGTTGCCGAGGTCTGGCTTCCCGCCTGGGCAGCGCGGCTGGCCAGCTCTTGCCCGGTTCTGGCTGCAGCGAGCAGAGAGCGCGGCAGCTGGGGAAACCGGCTTGTCTGGCTCCAGGCAGGGACAGGGGCCAGCGACTTCCCAAAAGCCCGGTCTAGCCAGGCTGGGCGGTAGGCTTGATCCCTGCAGGATGACCAGTGGGGGCTCTGGGGGCCTCACTTTCACTTCTGCTGAGAGGGGACACTGGCTTCCAAGGCTGCTGTCCCGGGTTGGTGTGTGCATCCCAGGCAGATACTGGGAACTTGGAGGCGCAGATGGTGCCCAGTCTGCTGAGGTCTTGGTGACCAGAGGTTTCCTGAGGAGTAATGGATCCCACAGAGCCGCAGCCCAGCTTGGCAGATATGAGCCCCCTGCGATGCCTAGTGCACATGCCACCCCTGGGGAGCCTCAGTGATGCCCAGAGGTTGGGAAATGGGTAGATTCCTGTTCCGTTGCTGCATGTCAGGTGCAGAGCCAAGGACCTGCTCAGCCAAGAGGGGCAGACCTCGTCCCATACGGAGACAGAGTCTTGCTAGGCAGCCCAGGCTGGCCTTGGACTCACTGTGATTCTCCTGCCTCAGCTTCCCGAGTGCTAGGGTAACAGGCGTGTGCCACCAGGCCCAGTTTACTGCATGAAAACACTGTCACACTGTCTCACTGAGCCTCCCAGGAACTAACTCCTCACCACCCTCGCCTCCTCTAGAACCCCCTTTAAGGGGTAAAGGTTGGCACCGTGAGAGACCACAGGACCTTCCTGTTGGTAATGTCAGTACCCCCTGCAAGCGGTGGGTAGCAAAGGCCCTGGCCTCCACACCTGGGCGGAGCAGGGAATCCGATCCCATTCCCTTGGCGCCAAAACAGCAGCCCATACAAGGCCCCTGCCCACTCACAATGCGTTGTGCAGGCTGGTCCAGAATGCTTGGGTTCCAGCAATCTTCCTGTCTCAGCCTCCTGAGTAGATGGGACTATAAGCAGGCACCACAGGACTACAAGCCTGGCTCCTTAGGGAAATTTTATGGTGAAAAGTTAATTTTTCTGTTTCTTCTATTTTAGCACAGGCCTCCTCACAAGCTTAGCTTTGTAATCCTCTTTCTGCTGAGTCATCAGACGACTATAGCGATCCAGTCAGCCTTCCCGGGGCTTTCTTGGAAACGCTCAGGGCCGATCCTCCGCTGGGAAGGGGAGGGAGGTCTGGCTCCTCTCCAGCTCTTAGAGAATCGACGCTTAGAATCGAGCAGTGCAGGAGGGCCAGGCAAAGACCGGACAGAGTGCCAGGCAAAGACCCGACAGAACAGAGCAAGGGAGGGAGGGAAGGAGAAAGGGAGGGAGACATTTTTGTCTCGGCCCCCTCTTCCTTCCCTCTGCCCAGCAGACCCAACGCCACCCCACCCCACCAGGCTGCATCCTCTGCAGGAGCCACCGAGTGCTACAGCCCCTCCACAATCCTAATTCACACTCCATGGGTCACTGTCACCGTGCCTGCCACCTTCTCCTGGGCACCACAGTCCTGTGCACCCAGGGTGTGCTGAGAACAGCAGTGAATGCTTAAACCATAAAAGTGAAGGATGGTCAACAGGGACCCCTCCCCAAATCCTCCTGCTGATTTGCACACACTGAGCCAGGCACCCCATCACTTTCTGCAGTGGCTCTGTGTGCTGTCTCCTGAGGGTTCTTAGGAGGGTGATCAAAAGTCACGGTGGCCACTACTGCGAGTGCTGTCCAGCAGAAAGGCAGCTCCTAAAACACGATGCTAGGTCCTTATCCACCTCAGTCACTGGATCTGGTACCGTGTGACTTCCAGCTCCTCCCTAAAGTCGAAGTGACCAGGAAAGGGACATATTTAAGCCGATTCAGGACATCGAGGTAGCCGGGACAGGGTAGCTAAAGACCCTCAGGAGAGAGCACTCCAGAGCTGCTGCAGAACGTGGTCAGGACAGAAGAACACATGTGTGCAAAGCTAGGGAGATAAATAGCAATGAGCCTCTCACTGTGACACATTGTTTTATTTATTTTTGGGGGGGGGATGCCGGGGATTGAACCCACGACTTTGCACTTGCCAGGCAGGCACTATGCCACTGGGCTAAATCCCCAGCCCCCACCCGTGTATTTTAATTTAAACATTCCCTGTATGTGTTGACCACACCATGCCCACAGATAACGCCATGTAACTGAAAGGCTATGTTTATCTGCATTGGTGGATGGGCTGTTAACTAACTGAGCCAAACGGTGCTGGGCAGAGCAGGCACTCAGCACATAATTAGCCAGTGGGAAGACAGGTGACAGGAAGTTGTCAGAGGCTGCCCAAGTTATTCACATCTGTCCTTCCAGGATGCAGTGTTCATATCTCGCCGGGTGCTCATTAGGAACTACATTTCCCAGCATCCCTTGTACCCGAGGCCGCCAGTGAACATGCGTGGGCCTCAGCAAGCAGTTCTGTCTCCCCTCAGTGGGCTGCAGAGGTCTGGGTAGGGCCGCTCCAGCACCTTCCTCCAGATGCCTCGTGAAGCAGAGCCACATTTTTGTCTCTCGCAGACCCTGGGCCTCGCTGCTGTGTCTGAGAGCCGGGCCTGCAGGGACACTTGCCGCTTTCAGGATGCACCAGGCTGTGCGGGTCTATTCGCGTCCCCTTCCACCTGGGCCAGACGGGCACAGGCCTCCATGGTAAACCCCTGCAAAGTTCAGACCTTCCCGTATCACCTCATCTTAGCGGAAAGCCACCAAGGGGACCCGCAAGGTGGTGGCGGCTTTGAATAGTCCTCGGCAGCTTTGATAAGGGATGTCGGCCGCGATGGGCCAGGGTCCCTGAGGGCCACGTTCGCTGCTCTTGGGAAGGCGCCTACCAACACCATCCTCAGAGGCTGAGCCGAAACTCGCCCAGCCTGAGCCTCATGGGGACTGAGGGGAAGGGGACTAGTCTCAGTGGATGGCAGAGAGTGGAGGAAGAGCCCAGGGCCAGGCTATAGGCGCCACCATCTTGAAAGATGGCGCCTCCTGAGCGCTGCCATTGGCTGCCTCCACGCAGCCCTGGAGGAGGGCAAAGGACACTGCGCCCAGGGCCCGCAAGGCTTCCCTGGGTGGAAATGCCCATATTTCAATGCCACTGATGTAGGAGAGGAACAGTGAATGCATCAGACCAGAAAGATGACAAGATGGGCCTGGCAGGCGGTGGAGTCCCTTAGTGGCGCAGTGACCGGAAGGGCTGCTGCTGGCATCCCCGCTGACCCAGAAGAGGGGAGGAACTCGGTGCTGGATACAAGGACTCAGGCGCTGGTGCAGAGGGCGGGAGGAGGCAGAAGGGAGCCAGCGGGAATCACTGCCCAGAGATGGGCATGTGGCTGGTGGCTGGAGTCCCAGCTCTGGAAGCAGCCACCGTATTCCTGTGCAGGGGGCTGCAGACTGGGAGGCTGGCACGTTGGAAGCAGACTGTCCCGCCGCAGTTCTGGAGCCTGGATGTCTGCCCCACTCCTGGTGTCCTTTGCTGCCTCGGCTCAGCATGGCTTGCCTGTGCGTCACCCCATCTGCTTTGGTCTTTGGCGGGGTGCACTTTGTAACCACGTCAATGTCCCCGGTGGCAGGGGTACAGTCACATCACCTGGCTTCTCAGTGGTCCTATCACCCACAAAGAGCTCATAGTCCACCAGGTCACCTTGGGGTCTCTGGGGGACCTGGCTGCTCTGTGGCATGTGGGCTCGGAAGTGACCGGCTGTGTGGTCTTGGGAAGGCATCTTAATGTCTCCGGGCCCAGCAGCTAATGCACATCAGGGTGGTCACTGCACGGAGACTGCCCTCAGGAGTCCCAGCCTGGAGTCTCCTCCCGTCCCGGGGTGCCCCATGGGGACCCGTTCCTCCCCTCACCACACCCCCAGCGCCTGGGATCTTTTGGGTTCATTGTCTGTACTTTAGGATTCTGTAACTGGACTTAATTTTTACTCTGAGCCAGGGTACCCGCGGGCGACCAAGACTAAAGACCGAAAATAAAGGCTGTCAATTTGGGGTTTCCAGTGCTGTGCTGTGGGTCGGCTCAGGCCAGGGCTCGGAATGGGGCTGTGGGAATATTCGGCCCAGGGGTTTCGAGGAGACCCTGATGTCCCAGTGTCAGCAAGGGTTAGACAGGTGACTCTTGACTTATCCCAGGACATGAGACCTCTGCTCCAGGATGCTTGCCCAACACTACCGGAGGTTCCCACTTTCCTTCTGCATAGAAGGATCTGCTGCACCCTATGGGGTCCCCCAGCTTCCTGGGGAGCTTCAGATCTGTGCCCAAAGCGCCTAGCCTGTGCTGCTCTGCCTGCCCTGCTCCTGCTGGGAGGTGCGGGGTTGGGGCTGTTTTCGATCCTGTTTGTGTTTCCCCAGGCACAGTGTGAGACCTCATGCTCTAGGTCCCCATCCCATGTCAGGTTTTAGGAATCTAGGCAGGATGAAAGCTGCTTCCTGAGCCCTCGTCTCCAGGCCAGGCCAGAGCCATGTGCCCCTCCCGCTTTGGGAAAAGGAGTTAATATTTAAAGTGTGTTCCCCATGCTCTTGTGGGTGGCCAAAGGCATGGACAGATGGCATGGGCCAGGGCACCTGGGGACACCCCATTCAGCTTTGAGGCAAATTGGTTCTAGGGTCCCAGAGGCACCTGTGACCCCAGCAGCAGGGACAGAGTCCCCCGAGGTCAGTGTTTGGCTTCTCCCTCCTGTGTGGCTGAGGTTCCATGGGGACCAGTTAATCATCTACACAGCCGGCTGCCTCCACCTGGAACCGGTTCTGTCACCCATGCAGCCAGGCCAACACCTGGTCACTTCCTGCCCACTCGCCTCTGCCGCGCTGCCTCATCTTCCTAGAGGAGAGACAGGGTGAGGACCCCAGCTGCTGGGCTGCCACAGGGATGGGTGACAGCCCCTAGATAAACCCCAGGCCAGACCAATGAATGGTCAGGCACTCTTGTCCAGGAGCCAGTGGTAAGGGCCACCAGTAAAGGAGTCAGGGCCCTGGCACAGCACCTGCCTACATGGCCCTGAGGGCTATGCCCAGGGACAGCCCCTGGCCGGGCACTGCCTTCCCAGGAAGGAGGCTGAGCACCTGTCCCCCACTTCCCCCTCTGTGTCCCCTGATTCCCCCTCTGTTGCCAGGACTCTACCTCATAATCTGGCTTGCAGCACTGACCACAGCTCAGGTCCGTGGGAAGCGGCAGCAGAAGCGACAGAGAAGAACCCGTTTCCCCCACACTCGTGGGGTCTCGCTGCAGTAGTGGCCAGGACAGTAGTGGCAAGGGAGGAGGGTATGATCTTAGGGATCCCCTCCCTCAGGCTCCCACAGGACTCAGTGGTGGAGGCAGTGACCCAGTGACCCTAAGGGGCTGTGTGGACGGTACTGGCAAGCTGGGCATCTGTTCCAGGCTGGGGACACGGGCACTGCACCCTACGATGCTGTGCAGGCAGAATGGTGCACACAAGCCACTGGGGCAGGCATGATGTCTGCACTGTGTTGCAGCTGGAAAACCGAGGCACAGGGTGGGCACAGACCTGGCTCCCCGCAGAGCTGAGCCACCGGAAGTAGAGGAACAGGAAGAATCTAGGTCAGCCCAGTTATCTGGCCATGGCCATGCTGGGACATCGTCATGGTGACCCAAGGACTCATCCCCACCTGCATACCCCCCCCCCCAGAGCTATTGAAGGGTTTAATCAGAGAAGGGAACCAAACAGATCCTGTTAAATTTCCTGCCCCAAAACCAGATTCTTCGGTCAGTGCTGTCCCCAGGGGCTGGGCTTTGCTCTCAGCCCTGCCCCATGACTGACAGACAGGATGAACAGGCCTCTCCTAGCCCCCCCCACCCCGGATGTCCCGCAGGAGTCCTCTGGTTGTGTGAATGGGCTTGGTTTTCTTTGGGTTCATTGATTTCTTCTCTAGCACCTTTGCTGGCCCTGTGGGTTTAGACACTGTCACACCAGCGCCCTGCAGCTGGTCTCTGCTCTCCCTTTCTCTTGCTGATCTCACGGGGTGTGTTTTGTTTTTGTTTTTGGTGGTTGCTTTGTTTTGCTTAGTTTTTGAGACAGGATCTTGCTGTGTAGCCCACAATGAACTCAAAACTCACAGCAGTCCTCCTGCCTCAGGCTCCCAAGTGCTGGCAAGACAGGGTGATCGCCCAGCCCCCATGGTTTAAAGAGCATTTTAAACCTTTGCTTGCTAGATGACACCTACAGCGTTGATCGCCAACAGCGTCCCCAGCTCTGAACCCACGGACCTGACCACGGCCAGCTGGACTCAGGTAAGTTTCCTCCTGGAGAGGAGCTGGTGGCATCCTCTGCCTTTGTCCCTGCTCGAGCACAGTGCAGTCCTTGCTGCTCAGTGCTGCCTCCGCTTCCGGCCCCCAGGGCTTGGGCTTGGGTTGCTTCTCAGTGGGACCTCCGGCTGGCTGTCTCCTCTCCACAGCACCCCTCTCGGAGCTGGAGTCACTCTGTGAGCAGCGAGACATCCACTTCGCTCTCCCCTGCCCCTGACATGCCCTGCCCTGACAGATAGAGCCCAACTGCCTGTTCCCTGCCGTCCTCAGCTCCCTCGGTGCACTCAGCACTCCGGGCCTGTGAGGTGAACCCCTGTGGGCCTTGCTTGATGCTAGAATGTCCTCCTGTCTCAGCCTCAGTGGACACCTGCTTGGGGGCCTTTCCCCACCACCCACCCTGAAGAGCCTCCTGCCACCATCACCCGCCGTCCCCGTCATCTTCCCTTGCTGGCTGGGACATAGTGAGACCGCAGCTTACAGGCAGAGAGGTTTGCCTAGCTTGTGGCTTTGGAGGGCTCAGTCCACGGCCTAGGTTCTTGGGCGGAGCAGCATGGCAGAGGGCCTGGAGAGGGGAGCAGCTCACCCCACAAGGGCAGGAGGCAGAGCAAGAGGGAGGAGCCAGGGGCCAGGGCACACCCCTCCGGGTCACTCCAGCTGGTGCCACCTGCAGGGAGACCCTGCTTCCTAACAGCATGGCAGCTGTGAGCTCATCCATGGCCCAGTTACCTTCCACATGCAAGGGACATCTGGGGACGTCTTAGCACCAAACAGCGAGGTCACCGTGCCCTGGCCACTTGTCACCATACTACCTTGTTACATTTTATTCACTGTCAAGAAACAATGCCGCAAATGCCTGCACTTTGCTGTTTCCTAGTTTACCTAGTGTCTGCCTCTGCCCCACCCAACACTGTCTGTCTATCTGGCTCTGCTTGGCTGTAAACCATGCTTTTCCCTCTCACTGCCTGGAGAAGCCCCCCCCCACACACACACACACTCCTGCATCTTGAATGACACCAAAGCCCCGCACTGTGTTCCAAGCTCCCGAGTCCATCCTGCCGCCGCTGGACACCCTGGGAGGGAGTCAGGTCCCTCGGAAGTGGGGATCCCAGCTGACAGGCAGAAGTGTCAGGTTGTTCCATCCGGGAGTGGGTTGTCTCCTGAGGAAGAGGGCAGGAGCCAGGAATGGTTGCTAACGCTGTGGCCAAACCATCCCGTCGCTCCTCGCGCCATCCTGCAAGGTTGCTCAGAGCAAGCGGGTAGGGAACTGGCACCACACCCAGGCCTCTCCCTCTGCCCCTGGCACAACTGTGACCACGACCCTGGCATGGCGGGGGAGGTGGGCAGAGCATACACGGGGTCCTGGTCCCCTCTGGTTTCTGTCTTGGTGTCACCTCTGTGACAAGGGCTGAGACCCAAGCCGAGTGTCAGCTTCCAGCCTGGGCGTCCAGGGAGAGGTGCACCGTTGGACTGTGAGTGCCCCAGGGTCTGCAGGACTTGGGTCAGGCGCCTCCCTCACCCTCTGCTCCTCAGCCTAGCCTGCAGCAGCCCCCAGGGCTTGTGGCCCCCTGTACACAGCAGAGCCTGCAGAGCTGTGACGTGGTGATATGGGGGAGGGGATGAGAGGGGACAGGAGAGCCCACCAGGAGAGCGGCATCCTCTGCACAGAAAAGAGGGACGGGGACCAAGCGTGACAGTGGGAGCTGCCCACCCTCACAGGAGGGACAGGGCAGTGTCTACACAGTGTCCCACTTGGTTCCCAGAGCTGGACGCTGTCAGAGAGACCCCGGCCTTGGGGGCATTGTCCAGCCCGGAGCTGAGGTTGTGCAGGACTTTGCTTCTCGCTGGTGCCCTCATGGGGCAAACCAGTAGGGCCAGTCCTGTTCCTGGGCCTACAGGAAAGGCCGGGCTATTTTTAGCTGTGGGAGGTTGGGTTCCGGGAGGGCTCCAGCCATATTTGTCACAAGCTGTTGACACAACACAGCGTCACCAGCTGGGACATCTGGGCTGAGCTGTCTTCATTAATCAAGAACTGTGGTTTCTTCCCAAGATGTGCAGATTTTGTGGGCAGCCGGCAGCCAGGACCTGAAACCCAGATCGAACGTCATAAAAATAAGTGCTTTGTTCCCTCAGGACTCTATGGGGGACCCTGAAAACAGGAGATGCTGTTTTGCCTGGCTTCGGTGAGCTATTCTTTTGGTACAGCGCTGCTTTGCCTGGCTTCGGTGAGCTATTCTTTTAGGAAAAAAATATTTTGCAGTCACAGTGTTGTGTGTCACAAAAATAAATTCTGGAGGTATACGCACAGCCGGGGGCAGGCCAGGCTTTCAGGGGGCTCTGCCCACAGACCTGGGGACTGAACCCAGCACCTGTGCACCCCGCCCCATCCTTAGCCTTATCCGGAGGAGGTTAGGGTTAGATGAGAACGACCCGAGGAAGAGGAAGTCGTGGGAGCAGAGATGAATGAGACAGGGAGCCAGCGCCAGGGACCCCAGTGACAGCGGCTTCCAGGGATGAAACCCCTGACCTGCGACTGCATCTGTGATCAGAAAGTGTGGACACAGCAATGGGCAAGTCCGAGGCTGAATCAGAGGCCAGGACACCAAGCAGCACCACAGACTTCAAGCCCAGAACCCAGGTTCAGGGGCGACCGGAACTTCTACAGGAAAAGTGGAAAACAGCTCCACAGACCCCGAGCCGGCTGAGGGGAAGCTGTGCCTGTGCTGGGAGGCTGGGAGAATGGGATGTGAGGGTGTGTGTGAGTGTGAGACTGTGTTTATATGTGCATGCGTGTAAGAGTGCCCATGTGTACGTGGCAGGCGTGTGTGCCCATGTGTGTGTGACCATCTGTGTGTGGCTTTCACTGTGGTGCTGTCCTGTGCCCTACAGGCTGGAGCAGCACTGGATCATTTGGACCGTTGTGTCAGCAGCCACTCTCTGAGCTTGGGGACTCAATGGGACAGAGAGGAAAGGACTCCTGTGCCACCCCCAGTCTGTGATATGGAAAAGAAATATGTTTCCCTTTTTAACCCACTTCTTTTTTGGAGACAGAATCTTACTAGGTAACTCAGGCTGGCCTTGAACTCACACTGTAGCCCAGGCAGGCCTCGAGCTCCTGGCATGCTCCTGCCTCAGCCCCCCAAGCACTAGGATTGGCTGTGTGCAGCACCATTCCTGGCTAGGAAAGGGACACACTCTGCCCTAAGTCCCAGCTGTCGCATGGTCTAAGATGCTCTCAGACTTGACAGCATTCATGGTCCTCACTCGGGTGTGGATGTGGTCCCTGGGGCCCAAGGGTGCAGCTGCGTAGACTCCTCGTGAGGCTGGGACAACGGGGAGGCATCAAGGGTCAGCCCTGGGAGGAGAGAGCCAGGCACTGGGAGTGGGAATGCCACCCCCACATCTGTCCCTAGGCCAGGTGGAGCTTGGGCTTGTGTGAGGGATGCAGGGACTGCAGGAGGACACAGAAAGGGGCCCCCTGGTGCTGCTGGGGTCGATGGATGGGGGACGGAAGAATGGGGACCAGGAGACCAGGGGGGGGTCTGTTTCTGTAGGGAACGGGGTGGGGGTGACAGAAGGACAGGAGGTTGGAGGAGGGGAGGCAGCAGGGTCGCAGACCGATGCCACGGGCAGAGGGAGGGAGAAGGGGACCTGGCTACGCACAGCATGCCTGTAACCCCAGCACTCTGCGAGGCTGAGGCAAGAGGGCCTCAAATTCGAGCCCAGACTGGAATATGCAACAATTTAGTAAGACCCCGAATCAAAATCGAAAATGGTCAACCATACTTTAAACAGAGGAAGCTGAGGCCCCAGCTCTAAAACCTGCACTCTAGAAAGTTAATTTTGGGGGCTGGGGATTTAGCTCAGCGGCATAATTGCCTGCCTTGTAAATAGGCAGTTGTAAGTTCGATCCCTGGTACCGATAAAAAGGAAAAAGACAAAAAAAAAAAAAAAAAGGAAGAAAGAAAGTTAATTTTTTTCACAAATAAAAAATCGAGATCATGTAACAAGTTCAACTACCGGGTCACCAGGGGTTTGCACGGCAGCTCCTCCAAATGCCAGCCAACTCTGTTGCTGAGCCAAGATCTTTGGCACCAAGTGGCACTGATCATTCCATGGCATTGAAAATGTGAAGGCAACCAAGGAAGTCCTGGTGCCACGATTCTTGGGGGAGAGCCAGAGGGAGTCAGAGGCAGTCACCGAGCCCGCCACTACCTTGAGGACATCAGGTAGAGCCTGGTGAGCGCTGTGACAAGAGCAAAGTGGGAAGAGTGAGACTGAGAGGGACAGGACACGCCTATTGCTCATGGGCAGGAAGACCTCTCTGGGATATGCTGTGAACAGCCAGAGCTGCTGGGCAGGCAAGGCAAGAGAGAACATGGGAAGTAGAGGCACCAAGCCATGCAAAGGGCCTGTGGTGAGCTGCTGGGGCCAGGCAGCTTCCAGCAGGAGCCAAGATCCAGCTACATGGACATGGGCCAGGATAGCCATCCACATGGTGGTCTCTAGCCTCCAGCTCCTCATGACAGCATGAGGAACGGAAATGGTCCTGAGTCCCTCCCATAAAGCCACACCAGCCAGGACAGCCAGCCGTGTCCCTGTCCTGAGCCTGAAGTTTGATTAACGCCTCAGAGGGCTTGCAGACTCGGCTTCTGCCCAGATGCAGGCCGCCCGGGTCAGCCATCCCTTGGGGCCAGTGGCTGCATCGGGCACCCTGTCGAGCTCCAGCAGCAGCAGAGCCCGTCCTGGGGCCACAGGAAGCCCCACTGCACCTGGTTCCCACGGCACCTATGTGATTCTGGGAAACAAAACCCCATTTCAAGCGAGCAGCACCACAGGCTTGGTATGGACCACGAGTTCTTAGCAGCTTCTTCCCAGGCGCCCCAATCCCCCTGACATGGGGTCCCTCAGCTTCCTGAGCAAACAGCACAGTCACCACAGTGGCAGTGACGGGAAAGGCAGCCTCTACTCTGTCCGCAGTCCCTCGAGGAAGATAAAAGGTCAGGGCCCCAGAACCCCTGCCCAGCCCCTCCTGGGTCCCCCTGTCATTCCTGCCCTCGGGAGGCTGAGGCAGGAGAGTCGCTGACAGTCCAGACCAGCCTGAACTGCAGCAAAACCCTGCTGCCTCAAAAATCCCAGCATAACCAAAAGTAGAGCAGAAAGGGTGTCAGTGGCGAGCAGGCCCTGTGACCTGCTGCCCAGCCTTCGTCACCTGCTCACGGTGTGGGCAGCATCACCAGGGGCCCTCCACACGCTCCCCACCTACCCTTGCTTCCCAGGGGCCCTTAACTGCCGTCAGGGAGGAAATGAGGTCCGGCCCAGAGCCCAGTGTTGCCGTGGCCCCAGATTTCCTGGCCCTGCAGACTCAGCCAGGCCTGGCTCTCCTTCGACAGACGCAAAGAGCCAGCCACACCTCAGAGCCGCTGCCATCCCTGAGGCACAGACGGGAGGGGACAGCGGGGCCACACCAGGTCCCGGGCGCCTCAGAAGCCCAGCCCAGGAAAGTGGATGGCACCCGGGGCTCTGCCTGGCAGGCGTGGGTGGTGCAGGAGCTGCTGCAGCTGGGCAGGGAGGATGGCGGGGGGGAGCCTGGCTGCGTCCTCCCGATGAGCACACTCTGCTCTGTTAAGGGACAGTGGTTCCATGTCTGCCGTGGGTGACCAGTTCACCCCAGGCATGGGTGGGACCTGGCCTCTGCGAGGAAACCCAACTCCTGGGGAGGCTCCCATGTCTGTCTGGGTGCTGTACCCACTGGACCCCACACTGGCCAGCATGGCCAAGCCAGGTCACGTCCATGGGTGCTGAAGAAATCACCTCTGGCCTGGGGTGGTGGTCTCAGTGATCAACTCTCAGGGAAGCAGAGCCAGCCTGAGAGTACCCGAGCTGGCTGCGGGCATTTCCACTCCTGCATGTCCATGCCTCAGCAGAGTCTCCTCACCTCCCACTCACAGGGAGGAGAAGTCTGACCCGTTAGGGGGACTCAGGGAGCCGGGCCTCGGCTTCCCTGCTCAGCCGCCGCCTCTGACTCTGTGTCTGTCTCTGTGTCTGTGTCTGTTTCTCTGTCTGTCTCTCTCTCTCTCTGTCTCTCTGTCACATGCACGCCCCTGAAGGCCATCAGGAGGTCACAGTCCCGTTGTCACAGGAGTGCCCTGTATGACACTGTAGTTTCCTAGTAAACCATGCTGAGTGGCACAGAGCAAAGCAGTTCCCTCTCCACATCCTCGGCATCTCGGAGACCCCGGGGAAACCCCCTCACTCTGGAGGTCAGGAGAAGCCACCAGAAAGCAGGCCATGTCTCACCCACTGGCCACCAGCAGGGCCGGACAAGACCACCAGGGCTCCTCTCTCCAGACACGGGCGGGCGAGGCGCTCACAGCCCCACGGCTCCCGCTAGCAGCTCCTGGGGCGAGGCCTGGCTGCACTCACACCCAGGCTCCTGTACCCTGCCCCTGCCCACTGTCCCATGCGTCCTGCAGGCCCCAGGAGCCCGGCTGTCCCTCGCCCAGACAGCAGCGTCATCTCTGTGTCTCTATGAGAAACGGCTCTGGCCCATGTCACGCAGCTCCTCACAGTCCCCAGACAGGAAGGAGATGGGGTCAGGACTGGAACCCAGCTCTGGCTCAGCCTTCAATAATGGTGGATGGTTGACAGACTAATCAAAGGGCCTGAGCACACCTATAAGCCCAGCCCTGGGGAGGCTGAGGCAGGAGGATCCTCCTGAGGTTGAGGCCAGCCTAGGCTACCTTGCCACACCCTATTTCAAAAAAACCAAATAAATAAATAAAAAGCTCTCCCATCTTATCTTGTGTAATCCCTGCCACTCCTCCAGGTTGGAATTCTCACTCCTGTTTTCAAATGAGGAAGAGATTAAAAGTGAGTTGCACAATTACTTATCGTAAACCCTAAAACTGTGCCCTTCACCCCGCAGCCCCGAGCCTGAGCACCTACCCCAGGGAAACAGAGACCTGATCCAAAATTGGCACTTGCTATGGGGAAATGTTCAGCAGCTAGGAAGCACCAAATTGGGGTCAAAAGTCAGCTTTCCGGAAGCGGTGAGGCTCATCTGTATTCCCAGTGCTCAGGAGGCTGAGGCGGGGCAGCCGTGCAAGTTTCCCGGGATCAGGGATTTAACCCCAATGTCTGCATCATAAAAAGAAGGCAAACCTCAGAGAGTCCATCAGGCCACACTGGGGGACCAGAAACCATGGCAGGCCCCTTCCCAGTATCACTTGTGCCTGGCAGAGAGTTAGGATGGGGTCATGACATTGTTTTGTTTTGTGATAGTCTCACTGTGTAGCTCAGGCCTGAAACTCACAGTGACCCTCCTGCCTCAGCCTCCCGAGTGCTAGGATGACAGGTGTGCTAGTTACAGCACAGGTTCCAGAGCCAGTGTGCATGTCTGGAACCCAGCTGCTCACTGGCTGTGTGGCGTGAGCTCTGGGCTCCCGTGTGTGTCACCCTGAGCTGCCCTGGAGTGCGGTGAGCATGGCGCAGGCTGCACTGCAACAGATGGCAGCTGGCATGGCCAGAGCCTCGCCAGAGCGACCTTCACCAGCAGGTGGATCAGAGTCACCTGGCCCCGCTTCTTCCTCCAGGGACAGGAAGCCAAGGCCTGGGCAGGGGCAGCAGCTGGCAGGAGGCAGGTGCCTGGCGGGTGGGGACTCTACTCTGTGACTCACAGGGTGGAGACAGGACTGGGCCTCTGGGCGCCGGCGCCAGGTGTCTGGGCCTGGGCTGGCGATGTGGCTCCCGCAGAAACCAGGAGCGGGGACCCTGGCCATCTGGATCGTATCCCGCCCCGCGACACCATGACGGTGGCAGACAGGAGAAGGAGAGGCCAAGGGTTCAGTCAGCTGGGCTCTGCCAGCCACATGGCCTGGGACTGCTGTGGGGTCCACACTCGGTGTCCTGGCATGACACCCCCCCACCAGGCCGGGCACAGAAGGGCCACGAGCACCACACCAGTGCTTCACCTGCCCTTGGGCACCTGGCATCCCCAATGGGAGCGCATCACATGGAGAGACGAGAACAACCCGGTCCCTCTGGGGAAAGGTGCTGGGAGGGCGAAGTCACCATCGCCAAAGCCGGGGCTCTGCTGCAGGTGAGGCAGCCTTGGAACACAGGGACCCTGGCCCTCACTCGGGGCCTGACCCCCGGCTCATACTATTACCCAGGGAACAGGTACCCGTGCAGCCAGGTGGGGAGCACAGCTCTGTCCCTGCTTCCTTGGGCACCGGATCACAGCTGGTGCCTGGCATCGTGTGTTGCTCTGGGGCCAACAGATCCAGGGCCGTCCCGGGTGGAGCAGGCTTGGGCCCGGGCCAGGGGTCACCAGGGGTGCATCCTGCCCCTGAGCAGCCGATGGAGAACTGCCACCCGCCCCCCCGCCCACTCACCCCAAGCCTGGGGTGCCCCGCACCAGCCTCTGTGTGGGTACCACTCGACCACCCGGGCCTGTGTCACTCACATTGGGGCCAGCACTGTTGGAGGAGCTGATCCCCCAGAGTCTGGCCCGAATCTGGCCCATGGCACTGCCCCTGCCCTGTGGTGACTGCCAGGCGCCCAGAGCTACGGCCGCCAGCTTGGGGGCGTGGACCCTGGCAGAGGCCACACCTGTTAGCAGGGAGTAAGCGACACTTGTGGTTGTACCCCAGCGCCCAACTGTCGCTGTCACTGGCAGGCATCCCCTCTCCATCCTGGGCCCTGGAGCCGCTGCTGCTGCTGCTGTGGGAAAGGGTGCGTCTGCCTCAGACCAGAAATTGGGGTCCTGGGGTGCCTGCTCCAGCTCCCGACCCTTCAAACCATTGCAGCTGCTGCCTGGCTCAGGCCAAGCCCACCAAGTATGCGGCTCTGGTGTCCCCGGAACCCAAGTGTGGGGCGGAGGCAGAGGCTGCACTGGGCGGAGGGCCAGGAGGACAGGTGCGGGTGGCCGAGGCTCGTCCTGTCCCCTCCCGTCCTCCCCCTTGGCCGCCTGTGTGTTTACAGCATGTTCCCGGGGTGGCATTTGAAATATTCCAAACATCGGCATCATGGTCACCGTCCTTCCACGCAGGAATGCGGGCTGTGGGGTGGACGGGCGGGCAGGGTGGGTGACGCCGGACGGGGCGGGGCTGCTCTACTGGAGCCACATGGAGATCACCAGAGATGACCCCTTGGCTCTCCGGGGCTGCACAATGGTGATAACCCGGGCCTTGCAGGAGCAAACAGGCCGGATATGAATCCCGGCTCAGCCCGCAGCAGGGGCTGGGGACTGCCCTGTGTACCCAAGAGCTGTGTGCCTGGGCGCCCTGCTGGACAGGCCCAGGACAGGCCGCTCTGCCTGTGGTGAGGTTGGGAGGGCTGGGGTGGGTACGCCTTGCAGTGCCTGAATCTTTAACTCTTATTTTTATGGTACCCGTTTGCGGAGTTCAGTGAGCACGTCGTGGAGGGGAGTTGGATGTGGACACACGGTATCATGTTTGTTTTGTATCATAGGACTCACTATGCAGCTCCGGCTGGCCTTGAATTCACTATGGAACCCAGGCTGGCCTCAGCCTCTCAGCGATCCTCCTGCTCAGCCTCCTGGGCGCTGGGATTATAGGATAGTCCTCCTCCATCAGCTCTCTACCTTCGGCCCGGGGCTGTTTCGCTTCTCACTGACGCTAAGCGCTGAACAGGACAAGGTCTTGCCCCTGCTGTCTCTGAGGCAAGTGCTCCCCTTTCCACACCCCTGCCCTGGCGCTGCACCCAGCCTTCCTATCTGTCCTGTCCCTCACCTGCAGCACACCCCATGCCTTCAGTGGCCTCTGTGGCCACCTGCCCTGTAATAGTGGCACCTGGCCTCGGTCAGCTTTCTGTCACTGGACGACACACTGCCACCTACAGGTGAGGGAGGAGCTGGTCCTCAGGCTCAGGGCCTCAGGGGACGGTTGCTGCTCCGGCTCCGGGCAGGAACAGCAAGGCAAAGGGGCCTGGCAGGGCAACACGCTCACCTCACAGTGCTCAAGGAACAGCAGAAAGGAAGGGACCAGGCCAGGAGGATACGGCACCTGAGCCACACCTCCAGAGCCCGCCCAGCCCCGAAGCAGCCGTGCTGATGCCTGGACAGTGGCCAGGCCCATCAAGTGGACGACATGGGCCTCGCCCTCCTGGAGCTGCTGCTGCTGGCAGCTCCCGGTGTCTGCTTTCTCACTTCCTCCTCACAGGAAACTCGTGGGCTTTGGTCAGTGACAACAAGGAACACGAGACTCTAAGGGGCTGAGAAACTGTCCCCACCTGACACAGCAGGAGTAGCAGGCTGGCACTGCAAGTCCCATCTCTCAGGCACCCTGGAAGCCTGGGCTCTGGGGCTCCAGCCAGTCCTGCCTCAGTTCCCCACATCCCTTGGGTGTTTAGTGGTGGCTGTTGCATTGGAGGGGTGGCGTGGGACGGACTGGCCAGTGCTCCCAGGAGCACAGTACTGGGCGTGGTGGCCGCCTGAGCCAGGCTGGCCCTGATCGCTCTGTGGCAGTCTCATCCTCTTCCTCCCCGCCCATCGCATCCTTTGGGCAGGGACAGGCCTGGGGGAGTTGCAGGGACGTAGAAGTCGCCTGCCTGCAGGACTGGGGTTTTCCAGGCCCCACCCTCCAGTGCCTCCTCCAGGTTTGACTGGGCAGTGTCGTGGTGACCCTGCCCACCACATCCCAGGAAGTGGCTGGCAACAGGCATGCCCTGCAAGTTCCTACCTCAGGGGCTGGGGGTGGACAGCAGGGTGAGCATAGTCTGGCTCCAGACAGAGCCCAGGAATGCTGGGCTGGGCAAGGGGAGCATTTGTGTACTGTCCTCGCGGTCTGTCCTTGGAGCGGCTCTGTGGTGAGACAGGCTGCAGGGCTGGGGCATTGGTGCCACCTGGCTACCCAGGCCTGCAGCACCCTCTGCCTGGTGGTAGGGCAGTGCTTACAAGTGTGGGTGCAGAGAGGGTGCAGAGGTCAGGGGCACAGGTGCGGGGCGGGGGGGGCAGAGGTCAGCGAGTGGGTTTGGGTGGTGGTCAGCCAGGCCCCTGGGGGAGCTGGGCTGCCCAGCTCTGCCCACAGAGAGCTCCGCCCACCACCTAGCTCCTCCTGGACCACACGTGCCATCTCCCACGCACAGCTGCGGGGCTGCTGGCACTGTCCTGGTCCCCAGGGCCACATGGCTACTGGACCCCAGGAGTATGAACCCGGATCCCGGGTGCCAGGACCTGTCCCATAAACCTTGCCCTGCAGGGCCTCGGGATGCTCCAGTGAAGGTTTCCCCAGCTGCCCAGTGCCTGGCCCCTGGCCATCTGCGCCAGGCTAGTTGCCTGGCAGCAGTAAACTCCCACCTAATCCCTCCTGAGGAGGCTGATCCGGTGTGACCAGGAAGAGGCTGGAACATCCACTCCCTCACTTCTTCCCTGAATGCTTCAGATGCGGGGGGGGGGGGGGCTGACCAGTGAGGTGGTATGACCCCAGCTTTTCCGGGTTGGTTTGTTTCAATAAACTTCTTGCCTTGGGACACTTCAGAATTATTTGTTTGGTTTTGGTACCAGTGATTGAACTCAGGACCTCGTCCTTGCAAAGCAGGTGCCTCTGCTACTGAGCTAAATCCCCAGCCACAGTTTAGAATTATAACAAAATAGCACAGGAGAGAGTTCCTGCAAACCACATCAGGTTTCCCTTATCAACATCTTACATCAGGTTGGTAACGTGTCATAATTAATAAACTGGAAGCGATGTATTACTATTAAAATCTGGACAAGGGTGACTCCAATGCACGGTGAGTGTTTAAATAAAAAATTCACTGCAGTCAAGGACCCATTGCCACGAATGCCCCTCAGACTCCTCCCTCAGCTGCAAGCACACCAGTCCCAGTGTCCTGGTCACCTTCTGAGCCGCTCTGGGGTCCCCTCTCCTGAGGGTCTTCACAGACATGATAATGAAACACACGGTGACGGCTGCGGCCCAGTGCTGTCCAGCAGAGAGGCGGCTCCTAAAACACGATGCTGGGTCCTCATCCACCTCAGCCACCAGCTCTGGCTCCGGTGATTTCCAGCTCCTCCCCAAGATCAGGATGACCAGGAAAGGGAAGCATTTTAAACTGACTTGGGGCATTGAGGCAGCCAGACTAGTGCAACCAAAGACCCTCAGGAGCAAGCTCTCCAGAGCTGCTACAGGACGCAGCTGGGAGGGACATATGCACTGGAAGTGGTGGGGTGGGTTCTGAGGAGAATTTAGGGCAGTGTCTTTCACTGTCATAAAGGTTTTAAATATAAACATTCGCTGCATGTTCCAATCACACATCATATATTATTCAGATTTCTCTGCTTTCCTCTGATGTCTTCTCCTGTCCTGGCCCCAAGCCAGATAACACGCTTCACACAGTCATCCTGTTTCCTTAGGGTTCCCCTGGCTGTGACCATCTCTGGCTGTTTTTTTCCTCTAAATTCCTCAGAATCCCACAGGTAGGACTTGCGCTCTGAAGGTCACAGGCACAGGAACCCCAGGGCCAGGCTGTCTGTGACTCTGGTGCAGTTAAGCAATCCCTTGGTGAGTCCCCCCTTCTCCTAGGTAAGTCGGAGAAGGCAACGGGACCTGCCCCACGGTTGTTTCAAAGTAGGATGAGGTCTGTGTCCCCAGCTTTTCCGTATCACACTCCCCTAGGAAACCTGGATATGTGTATTACACGTAGACAGACCATACAACACGACAGTGGTGTAAACGGCTGCCGCTACCCACAGCCAGGACTGTTGGGATCCGGTATGTCTTTGTTTTTGAGGCAGGGTCTCACTATGTAGTCTACACTGGCCTTGAGCTCCCTTTGCAGCCAGGCTGGCCTTGAACTTGCAGGGATCTTCCTGCCTCAGCCTCTGAATGCTGGGATGACAAGCGTGCGCCACGGGCCTCGCTGCAGAGCGATCACATATGGAGGCGCGCGTGGCCCCCAGCCCTGTGCATCACGGCAGGGAGTCCTGAGGACGAGGAAGGGAGGGAGCGCGCTTAGATTCTGCCTGGGCCCGCGTGCATGGCCGGAGTTGGTGTGATATTCGTTGCAGTCGATAGAGCCGCGAGCAGGGCCCGTTTGTGCAACCCTTGTGCCTTTCCAAAGGGAATGCGGGTCCCCCTGCAGCCCTTCCCAAGGGATGGACCTGGGTGACTAGAGAGGGCCAAACCCCAGACCAGGAGCTTCGAGTTGAGGAGCAGGAGGCCGCCTCTTTGGCGCCACCGCCTGGTGTCGGCTGGCCGGTGCACACTGCAGCGCCGAGGCCGAGACCTCCAGGCCACCCCAACAGGCAGGGCAGGGTCCCTTGGCCATGGACAAGCCCAGGACTGGAGCTCATCTATTAAAACCAGGGCCCCGGGGGTGGGAGAACCGAGATGCACCGAGAATCTGGAGGCAAAACTGGGCAGCGGCCCCTCGAGGTGACCCCAACTGAGCCCACAAAAAGACACTGGGACCCGCAGCTGCAGGGGTCAGGCATAGCTATCAGCGCTCCTAGAGCTGCGCGGTGCCTACGAGGGACAGGGTCTACCCGCCGGGACAGCTGGGCACAGGGCCAAACCCTGGCCGGCCAGGCCTCCCGCAAGTGGGGCCTCGCTGTCCCCGCCCCATCCCAGCCCCCCAGCTTCTCCTACCCCAGCCCACTGGTCCCTCCAGCGTTTTTTCCTAAACGACTCACTTCTGTCTTTGGGGCCCAAGGGTGCTGCCCAGGACGAAGCACAGTGCTTTCGGAAGTGCTCACATCATCTGGCGTGGAAGCCCTTCCTCTCTCCTCCTAGGCAGCTCAATTCAAAATAACTCTGGCTCACCTGACATCCCAGCACTCGGGAGGCGGAGGCAAGAAGACCGACTTAAATTCAAGACTGGCCTGGGATCATGTGTCAAAAAGTGAAACAACACAGTAAAGTAAAATAATAAAAGAGCTCATGATGTCTGTCTCCCATTGCAGCAAAACAAAACAGCACACACGAGACTGTGTGAGGACTCTGCCAGCCACACTGTCTCCCAAGATTCCCGGGGAGGACCCAGGACCACCCGGTCTGTATGTGTCCCTGGGGCCCATAAGTACCGGCACCCACCCAAACACACAGGCGCGTGCGCACACACACACACACACACACACACACGCACACAAGTATCACCAGGCCACACCTGCTCCAATGGGATACAAACACCAAAGTTAAACAGTACACATGGGCACCTCGGTGCTCACACAGGACCCTAAAAAGATCCTCAAATCCATGATGCGAAGCTGGGTGCCCTCAGTGGCCTGCAAGGGCTGCCCTCCAAACCCAGAGTGCTGGGCAGGCGGGAGAGGGGACAGGACAAGCCTCAGAGACCACACAGGCCGTGGGGAGGGTGCCCTGGCAGGGAGGTGCCCAAGAGTCCCAGAGGCGGAAGGCTGGGTGGGCACTGGGACTGGATGATAGAAGGGGAGATTTTCCTATCTAAATGTCACAGGGAAGCTGGTGAAGCGGCATACATCTGTCATCTGAGCCCCTGGGAGGCTGAGGCAGAGGGTTCACCATAAGTGAGAGGCCGGCCTGGGCTGTGCATTGAGTTCAAGGCCAGCCTGACTGCTTACACCGAGAGACCTGTCTCAGAAAAAAGGCTGGGAGCGGCTCTCAGTGGTCCAATTCCCCAGCACCCCAAAAACTGTGCGCAAAAGGCCATCAAACCAAACCTACAGATGGAGCCTGGATGCACACACAGACCAGAGCAGCAGGCGGGGGAGAAGCCTCACACACTTCAGGGCTCCAGCAGCCAAGGAGGTGCCACCCAGGCTCCCAGTGGGGGCTTCCGGGTCCCCCTTTCCTCCCGTAGCCTGGAGCAGCCCTGCTGGTTCCCTGCTCAACCCAGGCCCTGGGAAGTTGAACCGCCTAACTCCAAGGGGACCGTGCTTTGAGACACTGCAGGTGGCTCCTCTGCCCCACTCCACGCACCGACCATGCCCACGCCCACGTCCACGCCGGATGGAGGGAGGCACACCTGCCCGGCCTGGAGGTGTCCTCCTGTGTCCTGCTCGGCCTCATGCTTTCTTCCTGCCCACTACGCCGCAGGTCCATCACCCTCAGCTGGCTCGGAGATGGATTAGGGTACAGAGCGTGTATCTCAGAGTGTCCCAGAGTCAACGTCCCAGGAAAGGAAGAGGAGGGAGGGGAGAGGTGTAGGGAAGACTGGAGCCAGGGCAGGCGCGAAGGCAGCCTCGAGGAGTCCAGAGGCACCAGCACTCCAGGGCCTTCCTGCAGCTGGACTGGGCAGTGCAGAGGGCTTTGTGTTCTGGCCGGAATTTTCTTCACTAAGTGTGGGTCTTGTCCTGGAGCACTGTGGCCTCGGGCCAGTGACTTGGAGGCAGGCAGTCCCAACCATCTGCCCCTCTATGGCACCGAGAGAGCCCACTTGGCACCCGACCACAGGGCCCCAGACCACAGAGAGAGGGTGGAGGAGCAGGATGCCACAGGACAGTCACTGAGTGGACCTCCGGTCAGGACCCAGCTCAGCCCCTTCAGGTGCTGCAGCTGGAAGAGCCGCTGGGCCCAGGATGAGTGCATGGCCCCCTATGACGACCCCAGTCTCTGACACCCGCCCCAGCATCACCCTTGGGACCTCGGAGGTTCCCTGCACCTGTGAAAATCCACTCACTTCCACACTGAAAATACAGTCTTGGTCCACACCCTGACCCATGGTGTGTACCAGACTCAGGCAACATGGGGTCCCACTTGGGCCTCCATGCCAGTACCAGGACCCGTCTCTGGCTACAGTGGACAGTCAAGGGACTGTCAAGGAGGGAAACTGCCTCAGAGGACAAGTGTGAGCCAGGCTGGGGTCCATCAGAGCAGAGGTAAAAGGAAACCTGTTGTGCCAGCACTCAGGAGGCTGAGGCAGTATGGTCGCTGTGAGTTCAATGTCAGCCCAGGCTTCTCAGCAAAACCCTGCCCTCCCCCCCCCAAAAAAAACCCAACCACAACAGAGCAAAAATCCGGGCAGGGTCTGAGGTCACCTGGGCAGAGACCAGAGTGGAGAGAGTCAGGCAACAGGAATGGTGTCCGGGAAAAGCCTTCCTGACTCCCACCTACACCCAGGGCTCCAGGGCCAGCAGCCAGCAGGGCTGAGCAGGCCCTCGGAGCCACCACTGCTCTGGGGAGGCCTCTGCAGGGCTGGTGGCCCTGAGACACTGCCCACTCGCCAGAGCAAGTCCTCAGGTCCACAGGTACAGCTGGGCCCTGAGTGCCGATGCCAGGCTAGAAGCACTGAGGCCAAGATCCCACCATTCCCGGGCGCTCATCCTGACCCACGCTCAGCCCACTGCCTGTCTGTCTGTCTGTCCAGCCTCAAAGGCTCCACATAGAGCTGTGCAAGCTGAGCTGGGTGCATGAGTGAGGGCCACCAGTGCAGCAGCGCAATAGGAGTTCCAGCCACTCCCACCAAGGCAGCCATGGTGCCAGGCCCAGAGAAGAGGGGGGGAGGGGAGGGGAAGAGAGGAAGGACAGAAGACAAGGAGGGGAGAGGGTGGA